ATCTGAGGGCTGGATTAAGTACAAAGAACACAAAAGATAATGCCTACCTTGAGGAATTTTAAGTCTCAGAAAAAACAGATGGACAATGAGAAACAGAGCAGTGGTTAAGTGATTTATACACAAAACATGTCAAAGACTGTTGTCATTAGCAATTTAATCTGTTCAAAGAGATCCTGTATCACTTTAAAAATTCAGATTATTCTTTCAGCTGCTGGGGTGCTATCTCTGGATTCTTCAAAATTTATCCTTTCTGGTACTCTGAAGCTTTCCAGCTCAGGAACCATGTGTTTAAATCTGAATACAAAGTCATGGATGGATGAAACTGCCTTAAAATATTCTGATATGTGTTTGGATCAAACTGCCTTAAAATATTCTGATACGTGTTTCCTTTTCTAATCAGTCTGTGGAGACGGCTTTTGTGAGGAAGAAGAAGGCTGCTCTATCTGTCCAGCAGATTGTGGGGAATGCTCACTGTCTGCTGATGCTAGGATAGCAATTGCCTTACCAATATGTTTAGTTTGCGCTGGCTTGATTTTGACAGTGATGGTAAGTATCCTTTCACTCCTCTTCTGATTCCTTTCTCTTACTTCCATGATTTGGTTAGTTAGAGTGGAGCTCACTCTCAGTAGAGGGATAGATTTTCTGCTGCATCCAGAACCTGTGTGCTATGGAAGAAAGCAGAAGGAAGGGAAACAACCTTTTTGGCTTATTTATGAGGGGAGGCTCACTGGGCTAGGAATTTTCATCCTGTAAGAGAGAAGACTGAAGAGGAATGTAACAGAGGGATGGATATATAATAGTAAAGAAGGAAGAGGTTTTTTGCAACTTGGGAACTGGAGGGTGCCAGTAAAGTAAGAGTACTTTTCAGTCAGAATAAAACTGTTATGAAATTAACTGCTTAAAAACCCTATGGAGGCCAGAAGTATAAATGAATTAAAAACCAAATTAGGTAAATTCATAAAGGGATTAGCTCCGCCAGAGCCCATTAAATCTCAGAGTGCAAATACAATTTATAATGGAAAACATTCAACTTAGGATATTCTCAAAGTAATGAGAAGAGGATCTTTCTTTTTTTAGTAGGCTCGTTTTCTTAGCATGACTGAACCAGTTCGGTTCAGTTCAAAGTGACTAATTTTGCATAATAGTTATCAATTATTATAACAGACTCATGAAGGAAAAACAAAAAGTGAATGAGGAGAGAGAAGTGTATGAATATGAGAGAAGCAGTTTTGGATACCTTTTAATGAAAATATCTGTATAGAGAGGAGACAGCATGCTATTTCGGTTTATTTATTACTTCACAGTGCTTATGGGAAAGAGGATCTACATTCATTATGTGTCTGCATCTTGAAAAAAAATACATTCCTGAATTTCATAATAAGGATTTAGCAGGTGAACATGGCAGTTGTAAAGTCATTATTATATTGACTATGTATTTAACAGATAATTTATTTGGGGTTTGGCCTATAAATCTTGTAAATCAATAGTCTCCTCTTTCCTCAGGGATTCGTTCTCTTTCCACGTTGTACTGCAGTTGCAGTGAGCATCTGAGGTAGGCAAGTGTGCTGAGAGGGAATGAGCAGGAGAAGGCTGATGGCCCACTGCGTGAGGTGCTACAGGAGGCCTGAATCACAATTAGGTTTTTTCTCTATTCTGTGCCTGTCTGTGTGGCTTTGTGAGTTAGGGACGGAAGCACTGCTGAAAACTATTTGAGCATTTATAAACCACAGGGCACTTGTGACGATATGTTTATAGTAACTGTCCTGTAAAACCATATGATCTGATAGAAAAGTGTAATAGGACAAATGAGAAGTTCAAAAAGTTTTAAAGAACTGGCATTTTAGAAAGAGCAACAGAGTTTCTTGGTCTTGTATAGGTTTAACTAAAGGTCTTGTAGAAAAATTTACCTGTTATTTCTGCTATTTTTCTGTAGTGTTGAGGTTTATTTTTTTCTTCTTGCATTTCTGCATACTTATTCCT